TTATACTATCAATGTATGTTAGTCAATTAGTTATAAATTAGAAACCTACTTATAAAGAACAAAAAACGAGTGCATATGGGCAATAACACTGTATACACCTATGCTATATTCAACTGTACGTGAAAAGTTCCTTATTATAATTGAGTAAGAATACTTACAAGAAACTGATCTCTGTAATTTATCTGTATTCATAATTTATGCCCATTTTTAACTAAATTCGTTGTAAGATCATAACTTAAAGACAAGCTATTAATATTTGAGTTTGTCTTAATATCCTTTTCGAATGGTATGGTAGAAACCGATATACAAACGTTCTAATCTTAACTTGCAAAAGAAACGCAAACTTATTGAGATGATTTAAACGTAGAGAATTTTGATCTCGAAAAATAACTCTTATCTATCACTAAAGTTGGTATTTGATAGACACAACAAACATCGATTGTGACTGTTCATGTTCTTGTAGTTTTAACAGTCAATGCTAAAAATTAGTAGACATCAGATTGATACAGACAGACACAATTCTATTCGTGTTCACTGCTATAGTCTAAGTCAGATAATAGCGATTCTGCAACACTTCAAGGTCAACTTGCGATTTTAATATTCATTCACATACACATGATACCAACAACTTTGTGACGAAGAGTGTATTTATGCTTTTCTTTTCTTCACAATTTTGTATTTCACTTCGCCTACTCTTACTTAACGCCCTCTCTATTAACAATACACATTTTTTCCCATAAAAGCGTTCGATGTTAAACAGAGCACATTTCTGAATAGATCATAGTATCTACTCATACAATTTTACCACTCGATAAACGGTAGCTCGAGACATCGATCTATGGAGAATAAAAATACTACTATTATGTGATGTAGTATACCACATAGATCTTCTATCAAGTCAAGATTTAATGCTGCTAAAAATGTTTTAGATCCTTCTTGCTCATACATGAATTTCAAATGTTCACCTATCATCATTCTCAGATAGCAGTAGTTCTTCTTAGATCTCGAAATCACTTCTTTGTGAAAAATTGAGAACTTTAAAAGTGATTGGAACGATAGATTGTCATCTAGAGATTCAACACCAAAAAAAAGAAACTAGAAAGAACAAACATGTACATCTCGGAGTTGTTGCTCGTGTTGTGAACAACATCAAGAACTTATGTATCCTACATAAGATGAACAAAATCTTTTTTCAAGTACAGGTTCGTTCACTTTGAGGTATAGTATTTTTTAATATCCAATAAAGATACATCAACACGATCTATCTTCTCGTTCAAATTCAATTTTTCCAACGTGTCACTCGATCTACGTCTCGTATAGCTCAAAGTTCATCTGATTCTACAACTTTTTTAGTAATCACTCTAAACTTTACTTATGATAAAAGTTTAGAGTGATTATTAAACATTGTTCTATTCTATGTTACTCATTTAGATGTGTTAACATATATCTACACTGGTCGAATTTATATCTCAAATGTATAAAACTAAATTAAAGCTTAATTTAATTCTCTGTTTCAATTGTACGCACATAGTAATTTTTTTTGTTAACTTTTCATTTTATGTTTACTAGAGACAATCCTAGCAATATAAGTAAGACAAGATAAATTCTCAGATTTTAGCTGGCTAATCGTTTTACCTTTCAGGGAGAAGCTGACTAGGATCCCAATGCATATGTAGAATGCAAATTGCATTAATACTTCTTGTTAAAGACCTTTAGCTTCTTTAGCCTCTTTTTTGTGCATATTCAAGATAATTGCTTTTGTTTTCTGCAATTGAATATTTATTGATCAGTGCAAGCAAGAAAAAATCCTAAACTATATGTTTCTTAAAAATAATTAATCAGACATATTCACCTTTTTTCTATCTCGATGTTTATTTTTGTGTTGAAGGTTTAAACAATGCTACAATCATCTTTTTACTTGTTAATATTCAAAGGTTCTCTAGAGAAACTTCTTGTAAGCAAGATCTTAACTTCTTGAACTTTTTCATTAAGATCTTAATCTGCAATTTCTTATCATGATTTTGATAAGAAATTGCAAGATTTCGAGAAGTCAGGATCTTGAACATCTTATAATTTCTTGACTTTTTGTACCAAGATCTTCATCGAGATCTTGAGTAAAAGATTCAAGAGTTCAAGTTTTTGACTTCTTGATGTTTTTTCCATTTCTTGGGTACAAGAAGTTTCACTAGGGAGTTTATTTTACTTCTTCTGATGCAAATGTTTATAAGCGACGTATTTCTTTTAATTCTTTTATTTTTAGTATCAATAAAGTTAGCCTTGTTAGTTTTTTTCTGTATCAAAGTTAAAAAAAATGATAAAGATTATGCTTTAAGGCATATAATAATTACGAATATTATACTAATTACATTCCATTAAGTCGCACTTGACTAAACTTGTTAAAAGTACAGTGCTGTTTCGATAAAACTTGATAACATCTGTGAAAACATTAAAATGAACCCCCGATGTATGTTAGAAGAAAATATTTAGACAAGTTGGGACCAGGCGAACAACTGTGTTAGGCCATAGAACATTCGAAGAAATTCGAAAACCTGCTGAAAATATGGTTAAATAGGATCGTTTTTACCTATTAAAAAGCTCAAAACCGCTTCATACTTTTTATATATACTGAGATTCATGTTCAACTATACCTCGCTAGTAATAATACTACAGATCTCAAAATTAACACTCTGGTTTCTCAAAATGTTTTTCAGAAAACCTTCAAATCAAAAACATACATATATTCATTTTCTGTTGTATAATCATATTTATCCTAAAAGTATGAAGCAGTCTGGATGAGTAATGAGTTTTATAATTTACTAGAATAGCCCGAAAGCCCTATGTTTCGTAAAACTAGGTTTTCATTAGGTTTTCGAAATTTTTTTTCGGAAAATAAACATAGGCGTGTAACTTGGCGTAGTTTTATTTTCCCATAGATCGATGGTCCCGGCTGTTTCCTCTCGAACGGCAAAACCGCAAGGCTCAATTTCTTTCCTATCAAAAGTTATTCAAAAAACAGTGATATACTGAAATGCATAGTAGAAAGAAGAGAACTAACACACACATATTTTGTTTGTAGAAAAAAATATGTTTTATATCGACAGATGACACCCAAAACCTATGGGTGTAGCAATGCATATGTTATATTCTCGGAATGACAACAGTTTGAAAGTTAGTTCTCTAAGGAATAAACACTATACAAAATAAAGTGTGTAATAGCACGCATAAAGTGAACGCCAAGTGGATTCCCAGTGCACGCAGTAGGCGTGTACAGTACACACTGAGAAGTGACGGACGGCTCTACATACTGAGATCAATGATATAGTCTACTTGTCTAAACCATGTGTGTTGGAAATGCCTTAGGTTCATCAATCGTTTGTTTAAATCTACCGTATCGGCGTGGCCAGCTAACTCTGCTACCATAACCAGAATTCTGTAACGGTTTTTCATCATTCTGTTTTCCCTACAATTTCTAAATTGACAACCGCAGAGTGTCGTCGAGCATCTTAATCTGAAGAAGCTTTGACACTGAGGCTTTGCGGTTTTCCAGGAGGTTTCTGGAAAACTTTAAACCATGCTCAGCTGGAATTCACTTTTTCGTCTTTCATTATGATTTATGAGCTGTTCTGAGCGTTTCCTGAAAGTTTCCTTGGGTCATATGACATTTGACCGAGATATAAGGATTTTAATTTTGGCTGGTAACAGGCGAATAACCGGTTTTTCACTAAAATGCCTCTGACGAAGTTGTATTCATTTCTACACAAAAACAAGTGTTGTCACTATGCGCAGCGTAGTCGATCACCTATATTCCATGGCATTTCAAGATTCTCAGAGATGTCTGTTCGCAGATAGACACGCGCGGAAAAGCGAGCCCTGTCCAAACAGCGATAGCTGGAGAGCTGCAACTTGCATAATTTTGTAGAGTAACGTCCAGACTACCTACACATGCAAAAAAATTACTAATATTGTATGTTAGTTTTCTGAGAACGGAGCTGGTTTTCCAAAGACCCTCTGGAAAATGGGACTTCCAGAAAATTTTGAAACAAATTTCTGCTTACAAAAACATGCCTTAGGGTCTTAACAACACGATAATGGAAACCGCAGGCTGCTATCTATCAGTATGATTACGTTATTCCAAAAGCAACCGATGGTCTTGTATTTTGGGGCGGATAGTAGTTTTTAATTTTTTCGATTATAGGTTTTGCAAAACTAGTGTCCAATGTTTAGGTTACAGCTTTTCAATAAAACATGCTGTAAGGTTGAAAAACGTTTTAAAATATTAACCAGACTTTTCTCTTCAATTTAAGATGTCCGACGATGCTCTACGTCAGTCAATTTAGGAATTTTAGGCAAAACAAAATGATCAAAAATCGCCGCGGAATTCTGTTACGGTGGCATAGTTAGCTGGTCACGCCGATATAGCGATGGTTTTTTACACTTTTTTTTCTCATCCGTTTTTGCTGGAAAATGACAGCATATATGCTTTCGAAGAGGATGATCATGATTCTGAAATTATGTTTTCATTTGATGTAGTAGTTCGGAAAAAAAATGAAAAATAAGAAATCTTTTTAACACACCTAGCTTTTTACACACCGAAATTGACCATTTAGAGGAGGTACACACTTTTCGATATCGAGTGAACGTTTAGAAGATTGACACACCTAATAATACACTTTACTTTTTACAGTGTAGGACCTATCTCAATGAGCCAAAACAAAGAAAAAGTTTATTCATAGGAAAACGTGACTACATTTTACTCATATAAATGTGACTGTATTTAGTTTATGAAAGTGTCACAGTTATGCTCTCAGAAAAGTTATCACATCATTATTCAACGCCTATAATGTCAAATGCTCCTAATTAGTGAATATCAAGTGTTGATAAATAAATCGCTAAGTTCATTACTTATTTAATATTACTGAATGAAATCAAATATTTTGATATTCAATCGAAATTATTCATACGTACAGACTACTTACTTTGCATTTAGATTTTCTTTTTTCTTATTGTTTTGATATTTCATAAAAATTTTTCATTTTTAACACTGTACTTGTTGCACTAATAAGTGCTAATATAACCATAAATCCAATAAATAAAACATAAACAATAAATGTTGAACGTACAAATTTAAATTCTAATCTTTGACGTTTTTGTTGTTGATCTTCTTTAACAATTTTTGATTTTGATACATCTAATACAATATTTGTAATAAATGCTAATGGTGTATTATCAAATGATCGATGATGATTAGCACTCATTGCCATAATAAATTGTCTTGTTGGTATATCAAAATTAATATCATCAATATCAACATGAACATATTGATCAGCTGGTATTCGTTTTAATTTAATTGTACGTTTACGTCCACAAACATCTACAACAACATTTGTTATTGTATTATCATCTTCATTAAATTTCATTTCTTGTTCACTCATTAATTCTCTATAATGCATTAGAGCACGTAAAAAATATATTTGTGCTTTAACTGTACGTGGACGATATGTTTCACTCATAGCTAAAATATCTGGTAAACGTTGTCGAACTATTGTCCATTTTGAACTAATATTTGTTGTTGATAAATTACGATCAAATGATAATAAACTTGTATCATCATAATTTGAAAGAAAATTAAATCGTGATAAACGTTTTGGTATTGTTAATTTTGAATGAGATGGTATTTCATGAGTTGTAGAATAACAATCATGATCAACTAACGGAAATGCTTCATCATCTATGTGATCTTGTTGCTACAAAACAAAGAGATCATTTTTTTTTATCAAGAAAAAAAAATCAAAAGAATATTTACGGTATTGCGTCTTTTAGAAGAAGTTTTCGATAAGTCGACTGAATCCTGCATTCGTTGATAAAAGAATAAAACGCTTCTTTTTTTGGGACAAAAAAACGACTACTATTTCCGTACAATGAACTAAAAGTTAGTATTTAATGTAAGAGCTGATGACAAACAAGTAACATAATTTAATGATACTATGTCAATATCAATAGAATATGTTGACAAGTAAAAGTGACATTAATAATAAAATATTTTTCAAGATTAATCATGTTTTTTTCTCTATGATCTCTTCTTAAAAAATAATTACATAGATAACCTTTAATCTTATTCCTTATTCAAACATTCATATACATACACACACACACGCGTTTTTTTTCTTCTCTGTTTTATGATTCTTGAAAAAATGCACAATGTCTTATTCACTCGTCTGATAACAATTTTATCAGTAAAGAATTGAGAGTAAAGAGTGTACAACATCATTCTTAAATGAATGTGACTTTTGTTGATATTTACAAAAAAAAGTGGATTGTTATTATTCTCCTACGTCTCTATATTCGTTATTCATTCAACGTTTTTTTTTCCAATATTTGTCTTGATAGTGTGTCAAACGTAAGTACAAATTGAGATAATTTGACTTTCTAGCATATCATTGAAATTTGTTTACGATTATTCAATATTCGAATTTTTTTTTTTGTTTGATTATTATTATTATTTTGTTTTTCTTTATGGTTGAGATTTTCCAAATATACACGACAAAAAATAAAATAAAAAACAAGAACAAAATATAAAATAAAATTTCAGAAAAAGAAAGAAAAAAAAAAAGATGAAGAAAAAAAACATAAATATTTGTTGTTGGTTTTTTTTTTGATTTAAAAACTCAATTATTTTACTCGTTTCTTTCTTTGTGTGTGTTTTATTTTTTAATACAAAAACTAATTCTAATCATATTGCAACATTTTTCCTTTCACACGTTCTGTAAAGCCGACCGGCAGCATTTAGCCTAAAAATGTATAACATATAGAATAACTAAATACGATTTGCCATTGATTCTGTTGATGTAGGAGATGATACTGTTTCATCTCCACCACCTGATGTAGATGAATTACCACGTTTTTTCTTCTTTTTTGTTCTTCCACTTTGTGCTGAATTTGTTATTGTATTAAACGAATAAGATGTATGATTATTACCATTCTGACCATCTGTATTATTATTATTATCTTGTCCATTAGATGAATTATTTATTAAATCATTATTATTATTACCACCGGTTTGATCACATTCTCGTAATTGTTCAAGTGTAATAATATTATAATGTGAATCGAATACAGCAGGTGTTAAATCATTTGATGCACGTACAATTCTTATAGCATGTACTTTTTCTCTCATAGGACTTGGTGGTGTATGTGAATGTCTTGATCCACAACCAAAACATGATGTAAATGATAACCATACACTATCGGTCGATTGTTTATTATTATGTGTTTGTATATTATCTTGATGTAAATTATTTGTTGTATTTGTTGTTAAATTATTATTTTCATGTGTAGAATGATGATGTGATGATGATGATGATGATGATGAAAATCCTAGACCACGACGATGATGTGAATGTGATAAATGTCCATCAATAGGAAATTCATATTCCATTTGTGGACTACGACTATTTTCACTATGTATTAGACGAGCTACATTTGGTGATTGCCGATGAAATGTTTGACCCAATTCGGATGATTGTGACGATTCTGTCGTACCCATGGCATCCTAATAATAGAAAAAAAAAAAAAAATAGAATTGATAATAATCTGAAAGTTAATTTTTGTATATTTGAAGAAAAAAAAGACTAAAAACTATTTATTCGAATTCTCATTATTGTTTACTTTTTTTTGTCATTCATTTCTTAGTCTTTATATTATAACCTTGTATCTTAGTGAGTAGTTAATGTGGTGATAATACAGACGTTTTCTCATCAAGTGTCACATATTTTAGTAGAAAGAGAGAGAATTCTGATATATTTATAGGACTTATATCTAAAGAATAATCATTTGTCATTGACTTATTTGATGACGAAAAATAATCACAATGACATCAGAGAATGTGACAGTTAATTACAATAAAGAAAAAAAGAATAAAGAAAGATCAGATTCAATAAAAAGCAAAAAAAAAGTATCGAACTTTATATGAAATGATCAGTTCTAGAACTAACTTCAGATGGAGTAGAAGCCGGACATTAAGATTTGGTAGAGTGAAGCTTGATTTATCTCTATTCTAGAATGGTGATATGATTCTAGTCGTGGGTCATATATAGCGTTAAAATCGTCCACTTGTCTCAATATCTATATGTCCGCTCTTTGCCAAACTTTTACAGATGGTTGATCTCGTGATAAAATTGGTTTTTAACTTTTATCTGTCATTCTAATGAGAGAACATCACAATAATGAGGTTGTATACAATCGCAAAAAAATTTTCCTTTCAACACATGCTGAAGAGTTCGAATTTAATATGTGAAAAAAGGCATATTGTGACTTTATATTCTGTTTTTTTAATTTTAATATGACATTACAAAGCAAAAATTCGAAAAGCTTAAGTGTAATTATTTAGAAATCTGTTGTTTTATCAGAAAATAGATCTAAGTTCAAAAATCAGATGTTTGTACGCTGCTACTATAATTTTTTAGGACCGACTCGAGTTCTCCAGCAGATAAACTGACAAAAATTTCTGTAAATAAATAATGTTGTATACTTCTTAGTGTAGTGCACACCAGAAAATATTCGATACAAATAATTCTTTTTAATCAAGTACATATTGGTACATTAATCTGCGTTAGATCTCTTAATTTGTGATACCTGAAAATATTCAATGTCAACCCCAAAAAAAAGTTTCTTTAGGAAACAATAACATTCGTTTTAAGTAGTAAATTGTTTCATTTTTTGTGTAAGTTAAAGATCAACGAGAGATATTACGTGAATCATTCAGCGTTCGATGAACAGAAAGGAGTGTGTGAGAACAATGTGTCTGAGTATTCGTATTCAAGCAAAAATCAAGTTAAAGGAAAGTTTCTTGTACGGAATTTAAGAAGAGCAAATTGTCCTAGCAGAGATGATAGAAAATTTGTGTTCTTGAAGAAAATCGATTCGTTATTTGAAAGAGGATACAGCATATATAAACAGAGAAGTAAAATTATCCCAGATTTAGTTGAATTTATCAAATTTCTCAAAGAACTCGAAAAGAATTAGATGTTGAAGTTTTTTGGAATCTTTTATCATGCAGAGATCCCATTCGAATTAATCCTAACAATTGTAACGATGATGAGACATTTCTTAAAAGCGAATACATAGTGAAAAATTTGCAAACTTCGGAGAACTTAGAATAAATTGTTCATTTGTCCCAGACAGAAAACTCATTGAAAAATTTTAAAAATAGAATTTTTTTATTATCTCGAGAACTAACGTTGAGTACTTTTTTTTATAAGAGTTCCCTATATGAGTTGTTTTATATAAACTCATTTTTGTTCTTCATTTTTTCATAAAATCTATTTTTAATTCTTCTTCTTTTTCAGTTCCCTGGGTTCGATTTTTTTTTTTTTATCAAGACTATGTCAATAATCACATAGGTCTGAATTCTTTTTCTTATACTGTATAAATATTGACAAACAGACTCGCATACGAATTGTGAAAACGTAACACAAAATCCGACCGATGATCAGAAGACCAACTGGACCGTTCCTGTTGTCCTTGAAATCTGCGTATTATTGTACATTCGATAGAAATTTTAGAAAATGAATCTAAATTTTTGTATGAAAATATTAATGCACGTTCTGTATATTAGGATCATCACAGCAGAAGTGATAATCGACAACTTTTTGATTTACTTTTTCTTTTTTGAATTTCGAGATCTTCAAAGAATTGAAAAGAAAAAATTTTGTGCTTTTCCACTTTTCGAAGATTTCAATTTCTAAAAAAACTAAAATGAGTGTGAAAAATTCAATTTTTGTTGAAAAAACAAAAATTAAGTTCTTCATATCCTAAAGAATTTAAATCAGTTCTTCGATCAGTTGTTTGAACAGTGTTGAACATCTTATGGTGTTCACAAAGTTTCAATCTTTTTTTCACTTTTTCCATCTCATAATGAAGAAATTGACTACGTTCAGATAAATATGATAAGTAAAAGTTAATTTACCTAATTTTATATGATGAACTACGATTTGAACAATTTATATACACGAAAACTTTCTGTATGAATTTCACATTTTAGACTCATTGAGACTATTCAATTTGCTACAGTGGTTATCTTATCATTACACAATTAACTGTAGAATTTGTTTATCATCATTCAACTGCTAATCTTTTGATTTTCTTTTAATTTCTCATTTACTATATTAAAGAGTTTGATGCTCAAAAAGAAAATGATCTTCTATTATTGTTATTTTTCGATAGTTTTAAATAGTGACGATTTACATAAATTTCGAATTTCTCTTATTTCGAATTATAGATAGATGTCCCCCATAGGAGAAGGTATTCGAATAGCTATAAGACTAATTAATCATAAATAGTAATCTCGTTTTTATTAAATCTCTTATGACCAACCGTGAATTTTTATACACATGCATTTCTAATAAGTTTTATACTATATAAAAAAAAATCTCAAAAGAGATCATTCATTGCGTGACAAATATTTTTCATTTTCTTTTTGGAGTAATAGCAGCAGCAGCAAAAGATTCAATAGAACAAAAAAAAAACAAGCAGAGTAATCATAGGATGTGTGAGAATACGTATTTAGACAATCTTACGAATAAATTTCTTCTCTCTTCGAACATCTTCCGCGACTGTCTCATATCTATCATGATTGACCATGTAGTACCGAAATATAATGTGAGATAATGTTCTTTCAGAACACGACGCACGATATTGAGTATCAGGGTGAAGAGAAATCGATCATCTTTGATATCTCTCTTTTCGCGAACGTGAACGCTCATTATTCGCATGACATATTAACTTACACTGTACAATAGACTTTACTAATCATAACGAGAAAATGTTTAACATTTTATACTAAGTCTGCAAACTAATAAACAATATTAATTGTTTATTAGTTTGCAGACTTAGTATTTCGAGCTTACACATTCAATGGAAATCAAAAAAGAATAAAGAGAAGAAAAACTTATATTTCTGTCAGTATGAATATTTAAAATTCTTTCTTACAAGGTAAAAAATAACATCAGCCTTTTTGTTCAGCTTTAGTTGTCGTTTATTGTGTATTTTTTCTTTTTTTCGCTCGTTCAATAGACTCGAATGTGAAAGAAAAAGGAGAAAGATTAGCGCAAAAATATATTTGACTCATATTTATATATATATATATATATGAGAAGAAAAGGAGAGATCATTTTCTCGAACGGAACAAGAAACATTAATGAACGAAAATTGTTTTTATTAATACAAATTATTATTATTATTATTACTATTATTATTTCTACATATGATCTGTTAGCCATGTGCTGTCTATTACGTGCATAAGAGGGCAAATTTTTTTCTTCTTCATACTCAAAAACAGCTTTTCTTATCTTCTTCAGTAACAAAAAGAAAAAACCAAGAGAAGAGCTGCACATCTTTTGTTTCACAAACAAACAAAATGTAAAAATTTATCATAACTTAAATCATCTTTTTTTAGTTCTGATAATATTTGTGACGATTTCCCAAATGCGATCAAAAAAAAGAAAAAGAAGCTAATTAGTATAAAAATGATCGCCAATTGGACCGAATAAAGTTACATTAGTCTGCGTTTCTAAAAAGCGATCAATTAATGATTAATCAACAATCTTAATGTGAAATAGCGATGTTAGGCATGCATCAGTTAAAAACTGATGTTAGGACTTCCACAAAAATTGTTATAATTCATCTATAAAGAATTATTCAGAGTCGCGAAGCATCTCATTTTGTAGAAAACTGTTTGGACGACAATCTTATATAAGTAAAAAATTGTCAAACTTATCTGTAATACAAATGTGAGCATTCTAAAAGCACTAGATTCAGAAAACAAACTATTCGTAAACAGTTTTTTTTTTCACAGCTGAATTTTTAAGAACAAACATTTCGAGAGAAAATGAAACGTTTGGTGACGTTGAATAATTCTTTAAAGATAACTTCTAACAATTTTTGTGGATGCTAGTTAAAAAACTGATACATGCCTAATCGATAGATAAATTCGTCGCTTTTCTAGAAACATATATAATAAGAATGGATGATAATACGTAGCTATACTAAAAAAACAACTAGTGTCGCTGTTTATGGACGAACATCAGAATAAGAATCCACTCTCAAAGCAAAATGAGTCAGTCATTTTTGATTACTAATCAGTAAAACATATCCTAACGATTATTTCTTTGCAAAAAGACTATTTAAGAGTATGATTAGTCGTTACAATAATTGACCATGAGTTCTCTCTTATTGATAATGATCAATCGAGAAGTATATGCAGACAAAAGTCATACTTTATTTAAAACTACGAAATACAAACTTTACTTGGTTAGAAAAAAGTTTTAAGAACTCTTTCTCATCGGTATATGTGTATATAGAGACATTATAAAAACTGCCAGAGAGATAGTAATGACGTAGACTAAATTCTTTGTTGATATAAAGCTTTTATTCGTATTGTTGCGTATTATCATCAATTATTATTATATATATTTCTGTTTCTATTATACTCTATTATTTCTTAGAAAGTCACTCATTTATATATATCAATATTTCAAATTACAATTG